TTAAGAATAAAATGATTCAAATGTTTTTCTGTCAGTCAGTGCTTTCTGCGAATTTATTCGGTTATCGTTATGTTTTTTTGTATTTGTAAAAACATTTTGTATGTAAAATTTTACAGAAAGCTATTTCAGCAAAAAAAAATGCTGTACTAATGTATTGTATTCTTTTAATCACGTTATTCCTGTAAAGCTTTGTCCTGAAAATAATATGAAATTGTAGCGCTTTCAAAAAGGGCTTAGGGGACGGCTTAGGGCCTAAAAATACTGCAAACGAGTACGTGTCGTCGTGCCTCAAAATTGTAACCAGGGAGTTCATAAAAATATTTCTGGGTTTTTCACTGGCTACAATAAAAACACCAGACTGTTTATCTTTTGTTTCTATTCAATTTTAAAGTTTTTTACTGCACTAGTTGATATCTTTTTTCGTGCATAAAAGCATTCTTGTTCTTATTGGGATTTTCATTTTCTCATCGTTAGTATAAAACGCTTCTATTCAACGACAATAGACGTAATGTGGCGGATCGTTTATTCGTTTAAGTGACTTATCGCTTAGAGGCCTACAAAGGGAAATTTTTGACTCATTATAAATGTCTCCTTTGCAGAACTTAACTTAAGCAAAGCACAACTAGAACTGTTTTTTTTTCTTTTTGAGATGGTCCTGTGTGTTCTATAATAGCTCATCCTTGCAGATATAGTTAATTCTCCGTTTACAAGGTTTGAAAACAGCCTTCATGGGTCGGAAGCCTGAACGGGGATTGTCATCCAATAAGATCTTAACTTAAGCGTAAAAGAAAGCACTCTGCAATATTCACTGCAATGGTATTGGGCAATTGTATAAAAAGCCTGTTCTCATAGATATTTTTTATTATTCATTTGCTCAGATTGAAACGAGTTGATTGGCTTGGTGACGATTCCTTACCGAAAGAGATTGATAAATTCTTATTTTTTTTTATCAAGTTTGGGCGAACGAGGAGAGCATCTTAATAGTTGCTAAACAGTCTTCAAGTAGCTGGCTCTAACGATGTACTCATGCAGACATAATCCAGTAAACCAAACTAGAAAAACACATGAAGGATATATTCCCCATAAATTGAAATTGAAGGCCATTAATTCACATTATGTTTAATCCAGTTTCACCAACCAAGTACATCCCAGAGGAATAAAGGGTGAATGTTTCTAAAGAAACGGCTGTGGTGCTGCGTCGGTAGGGGTAACAAGGTAATTTGGTTCTATCAACTAAGTTAAAATTGTAAATTGGCCACCGTGAAGAGTTTTAAAAAAAGCTGGCGTTTCGAGCGATAGCCCTTCGTCATTGGCTCTGACGAAGGGCTAACGCTCGAAACGTCAGCTTTTTAACTCTTCACAGTGGCCAATTCCACCTTAGTTGATATAACCAAATTACATCCCAGAGGGTCTTATTCAGTTGTTAGAACCTCTGAAAGCTTCCTGATCAAACAAAGAGAGTGGTGTATTTGAACGCATATTAAACCTCAGCTGTTTCACTGATGTCCCCATTTAAGTTGAAAACCTTAATGTGGTTGTTCGAATAACGGTCATTTTCTGAGAACATGGTGTTCGTTCCCTACTGCTTCGTTCTCAACGTTTTGACTTTACTAACACCACGTGGACAAGGTGAGATTTACCAAAACTCTTGTCCTTGCTCGTCCCTAAAGTAATTATATTCGAAGTTTGCTAAAGCATTTTCCTTTCTTTTTACTATTTTTATTGACATAACTAGGCCCTGAATGAAATATCTGAACAAGCTTCTTCTCCTAGTATTTAATATAATAAATTATTTCATCTAAATACGTTTTCTCTATGAAGTGGTACATGATGAGAGAACCTAAACATTTGAAAGAAGTTCGTGCACTTTTAAGGTCATTTTACAAAACATTTTTTGGAATAGGAAGATAGCAAACGAATGAAATTTTAGGGAAAATGGTTATTAACGTACACAAAAGGCAGAGTTTATTTTACAGAATTGAACATTCACTTTACCGTAATAATGAAATAACCCGGGTTGCTAATTGAAAGCGGAAACGGTTTTATTAAAACCTGTTTTGTTTCTGCTGTCATCCTGATCGAAAAAGCCATCAGCCTCCTGACTCTACTCGGTATGCAAGGCAAGCAAAGTGGCTCTCAATAATAAGGCAAACAGATTGCCCTGTGGGTAAGTAGGTTATAACCTACANCCGCTGCTAAATTTATGTTTACGAAATATTGACTTCTTTCCTTCTTCATTCACTAACCAGATCACGATGAATGCATCAATGAAAATAATGCTTGTGACGTCAATGCATACTGTACCAACACCGTGGGCTCCTATTATTGTACTTGCAAGGAAGGTTACACTAGCAATGGACGATGGTGTTCAGGTACATCGCCTGATTGAGTTAGACTGATATCTTGATAGCTTTCGCTGTTGGCGTATTGAGAGATTTGTCAAACCACTTATCAAAATGATGCACAGTTTCTCACTTGAGGGGCAGGAGGGAGTTACAGTGTCTGTGGTAAGAGATGGGCAAATATTTTCTTTGGTGTAATTATTTGTGAAGTTACTTATAGTTCGACACTGTGATGTAGATACCGACGAATGTAATAACATAACACACGACTGTGATGTGAATGCTGAGTGTAACAATACCCTTGGATCTTACAAATGCACGTGTAAAAAAGGATTTCATGGTAATGGAACTAACTGCGCAGGTAACTAATTGAAACATCTCATACACCGTCTTTCATCTTCATTGTGCAAGGATAAGGAAGCTTAACAAAGGCTTCATTTATACGATATTACTTTCCGTGTTTTAGACACAGATGAATGTGTTGACAGAACACACGACTGTGATGTGAATGCTGATTGTGACAATACCCTGGGATCATACAAGTGCACGTGTAAAGATGGATTTCACGGAAATGGAACATATTGCATTTGTTAAGTTTTTTATTGAAAATGTTGATGTTTTCGTGGACTGTCTTTCTTCTTCATTATCTGAGGTGACTTATTAAAATTAAAATAACAGGACTGATTTCCATCGTCTTCCTTTTCTTTTTCTAGATGTAGATGAATGTGCTGATGGAAAACGCATCTGTGATGTTAATGCTCAGTGTAATAATACCTTTGGATCTTACAACTGCATGTGTCAAGATGGATTTCATGGAAATGGAACTAACTGCGCAGGTCACCAGTTGCAACATATCATACGTCGTCTTTCTCAGTGTATAAGAAAGCTGAAAAAATGGTCTCATTTACAACACACTACATTACATTCCTTTCCATGTTCTAGATTTAAACGAATGTGCCGACAGAACAGACGACTGTGATGTGAATGCTGAATGTAACAATACCCTGGGATCTTTCAGTTGCACGTGTAGAGATGGATTTCATGGAAATGGAACCAACTGCACAGGAGACTTGTTATGATGTATTTAAACTCCGTCTTTCGGCTGTATCATTTGAGGTGACTTGAAATAAAGATCTCATTTACATTATATTCTTTTACTTGTTCCAGAGATAGATGAATGTGCTGATGGAAAACACGACTATGATATTAATGCTGAGTGTAACAATACCAACGGATCTTACAACTGCTCGTGTAAAGATGGATTTCATGGAAATGGAACTAACTGCACAGGTAACTAATTGAAACATTTCATACACCGTCTTTCATTTACATTGTATGAGAAAGCTCAAAAGAGGTTTCATTTACATGATAGTCCTTTTCTTGTAGATATAGATGCTGAATGTAAAGATACTGTTGTTTATTTCACAGAAACATTTGCCCGAGTCGAAAACTCGACTCGCCAGTAAAGGAGAGGTTTTCTGCAAACAGAAAACACGCTTAAAACAAACGAAATTACAACATTAACAACTGAAATGAAAACTCACCGACTGTTCGAGCTTAGGGTTTTCAAACAATGACAATAAAACAGCAACCAAACATTCTCGAAAATGAACGTGACGATTTTCCTCTTAAAGCACATGGGAGATTGCCCAGATGTTTACGTGAACATAGGCCCGCAATGGGAGTTACAGATACCTTGGGATCTTTTAACTGCACGTGTAAAGACGGATCTCCAGGAAATGGAACTAACTGCACAGGTTACTAATTGTAACACATTCAGACTATGTGTGTCATCTTTGTTATCTGAGAGGGCTTAAAAAGGGTATAATTTACATGATATTCCTCTCCGTGTTCTAGATGTAAACGAATGTGCTGACAGAACACACGACTGTGATGTGAATGCTGATTGTAACAATACCCTGGGGTCTCACAAGTGCACGTGTAAATATGGATTTTATGGAAATGGAACTAACTGCACGGGTAACTAGTCGTCACATTTTCTGTGGTGACTTTCATCAAAAGTAGATTCTGAAGTAATATAACTGATCTAGATGGTCCTCTTTTTTTTGTTCTAGACATAGACGAGTGCGCCAACAGAATACACCCATGTGATGTGTATGCTGAGTGTAACAATACCTCGGGATCTTACAACTGCACGTGTAAAGATGGATTTCATGGAAATGGAACTAATTGCTCAGGTGATTTAATAGCTATTAATGTAACATTTAGAGACTCCGTCTTTTATCTTTATTATCGGAGGGTACCAAAAAAAGGGTCTCATATACATGATATGCCCGCCTTTTTGTGTTCAAGACTCCAACGAATGTACTGAAGGAACTCACGGCTGTGATGTGACTGCTGAGTGTAACAACACCCTGGGATCTTACAAGTGCAAGTGTAAAGATGGATTCAAAGGAAATGGGACTAAATGCACAGGTAACGAGATGCTACATATCAAGCTGTCTCTCTTTTTTTCTTGAAGAAGAATTGTAACAAAAGCAAAAAAATACAAGAACTGGTTTAAATGGCTTTATTTTTCTTACTCTAGAACTAGAAATGAAGTTCAGTGACATATCCGGCTGCGCCTCGAGTTCCACCTTTTTGTTCTTATTACATTATGATGTCGTCTCTGATCTTTCTATCGAACAGACGCAGGGCAATGTGGAATCAATTTGTTACTAGCTACATATCAGTATACTGTGAATAGGGAATAAAAATGGCTTTTATTCAGAGAAGGAAGCGGAAGCAGTCTGGGAAGCATTGTTATTCTTCCAGGGTTCAAGAAGTCTTAAGAATGCGGTTTAACTTTCATCGTATAATTTTCAGGAGCTTTTTCTTCTTTATCTAATTTCCCTTAATTTGCAGGAATCATTTTTCAAGCATGCCAGTTGGCGATATTGGCAATATAATTTGACAATTCATCTCAAGTATGATAAATTTCATAATATTGCGTGTTTGTTACGCAGGATTTTCAGCTGTGTTTACAACCCTTGATGCGAGTGAAGGCGGCAAGGGTCCAGCCTCAATCGGTAGTCACTACACAGGTCAGGACCATGACGGACAAGTTACATTATCCAGCGGTATTCAACTGTGGACTGTGCCACAGACTGGTCAATACAGAATTGAAGCAATAGGAGCCTCAGGGGGGTGCGGGAAGGACAGTGTCATCAAGAATGGAGGAAGAGGGGCAAGGATGATTGGAAACTTTAATTTAAAAAAAAGCGAGATCATTCGTTTACTTGTTGGCCAAAAAGGAGGTGCATCGAAGTCGTCCAGCAATTCAAATGCCGGAGGGGGTGGAGGTACATTTGTACATTCGGCTTCTGACTAGCCGAGCTTGCTAAATGATAATAGTTAAGGTTGAGTTAGTGATTAAGAGAGCTTTCAGTCTGACCACAGTACGGGCTCACAGGGCGGTTGTTCAATATTTGTTGCCAAAAGTATGAGTCTATTGACTGTGGGATCCGTGGCTATCTTAATTTTTTTTTATTCAGTTTATTTGTATGAGACTTTTATTTATTCTGAAGTAAAAAAATAAAAGGGCAATTTTTCAAGGCAATGCTAATAAATGAATGCGTTATGATCCCGCTGCTTTTTTGTCATTTTGGAATTTTTTCTGATGGTGAGCCCCGAATTACATTAGCTAATAGGTTAGCTTAATTCAAATGCAGTTGACAAAAATTTTAGACTTAGGCTGGAAAATTCATCCAATGTTCATTGGTCATTAAATAAATACAAGGAACTACGACAAGTATGTACAAAGAAACTGATGTTGATTGAGTCAGTTTTTTTTTTGTTTTTGTTTTTGTTTTTCAACTATAGTAAATTCAAGAATGTTTTTCAGCGGACTGTCAGAACTTGTCCTGCAGGCTTTTTGTTTTCTCTTTTTTTTTTTTTTT